CCCGGGCTGAATTCGAACCCACCACCTTAGGTGTATGTGGCTGGCACCTTAGCCACTTGAGCCACAGGCGCCGAGCCGCCTGGCCCAGTTCTAATCAGCTACATATCTGTTTTTTGGGGTGCTCAGTGAGCCTTGTAGTGCAGTGGGTAGACGTCACACGGCTAGAGAAGAATGCCACCCTGCTTTTCCCCGAGAGCATCCGAGTGGACACCCGTGACCAAGAGCTTTTCTTCTCCATGTTCCTCAACATTGGCGAGACCTTCAAGCTCATGGAGCAGCTGGCCAACTTGGCCATGCGGCAGCTACTGGACAGTGAGGGTTTCCTGGAGGACAAGGCCCTGCCCAGGCCCATCCGGCCTCACAGGAACATCTCAGCTCTAAAACGGTACCTTGCCCTCTGGGGGTGTGAGGGACCCTGGAAGCAGATTCACTTGCCCTGTCCAGGACCCAGCCTATGGCCAGTGTGTAGACTGGGGTGGGGAAGGTCACACTCAGGCCTCATAGGTTTTCCATTCAGGAAGAAGGCCCAGTCCACAGATCTCTGCAGCATTGTGTGAGGAGGCAATAAGAGACATTCATGATAAACATGCCACCATTGTGGAGGACGTTCTTTATACCTTTTGTCTCGCAGCCCTGTGATGGAAGGTACTTTATCCTCCATGGGTCTCAGATAAGGAAGATGAGGCACAGAGAGTTGAAGTAACTTGCCTGAGTTCCCTTAGCTAGCAAGCGGTGCAGCTGGATGTAATTTCCCAGCCAGGCACACTCAGAGTGCTCTGTGCCTGGAGTGCATGGCCTATACCCCACTGTGATGGACAGCTCTTCTCAGGATCCCTTGCTAGAGAGCCCTCATAGACCTCAGGGGCCTGAAGCCAGCAGGGGAGACGGGCCAGGTATAGGTCTGAGGTCACCACTGCCCTCTCCCTAGGGATTGGTAGACAGAGAATGGATCATGATGGCTGGCCCCTCCAGATCACTTCTGTTTGAGCTCCTAGTTGATGATTTCACGGGAAACCTGCAAGGCTGGCTGAGCTCTGTGAGGTTCCCTGGGCTCTTGGGTCACACGGCTAGTGTGGGTACCGCCAAACTCATACCCATTCAGAGACCTCACCTCTACCGAGCCATTTCCTAAGTTGTACCCACAGACCATAGTCTAGGGCTCATTCTGGGGTGCACCTTCAGGACCAGAACATTGTCCAAAGACATCCTTGTGATCCCGGTGATAGGGTGGCTTGTCACCTTTCAGAAAGAGACAAGCAGGGCTGGAACTCAATGATGTCTGGCGCTGTTGGTCAGGGTGAGTGATCAGGTCCTGTTCAGGCTGCCAGCAGCCCAGGGTGGGTGAGATATTCCCTTGGGGGCTGGGAGAGGTTTATGAGACAGAGCCACCAAAGAGGTGAGGGCTTGGTGCCAGGCCACCTTCATGGCCATCAGACATCCACATATTTTTGTTAGCACCAGGCATCATTTTCAGCTGTAGCTCTACACTTCCCTATTGAAAGTGCCTTGTCCAGTCTTCAAGGTAACATTGGGCTTCCCCCACTGGGAAGAAGCCACCTACGCTTGCAACATACTCTATCTGAGTAGGCGGGCACAGGGACTCTGGGCACTGCCCACCTTTTGGTACCAAAGAAGGGTCACATACTGCCTAGGTCAGCCTCCAGGTCCTTCCTGAGCAGTCAGGTCTCTAAGGCATGCTATTTGCTAGTCCCTTTCCTGCTACTCACTTGAACATCCCACATTCTACTTGGTCATTTGTGTCTTTTATTCAACTCTAAGATCCCTGGGCGTGGCTTGCTCATGGGAGAACCTAAGTATCCTGAATCTAATGTGGAAACTGGGGAGGCCCTGTGGCCCCCTTGAGTATGTTCTGGCCTTGGCTCTTGTCCCCTTACCTTCCATCCCCCCACCTGTTTCCCCAGAGACCTGGATGCCCGAGCCAAGAACGAGTGCTACCGGGCCACATTCCGGCTGCCCAGGGATGAGCGGCTAGATGGCCATACAAACTGCACCCTATGGACGCCATTCAACAAACTGCACATCCCTGGCCAGATGTTCATTTCCAACAACTACATCTGCTTTGCCAGCAAAGAAGAAGATGCATGCCACCTCATTATACCCCTGAGGGAGGTAAGCAGCCTCTGGTTGAGACCTATGGGGTCAGTAGGTTCAGGAACCAGCCCCTATCCAGCTCTGCCCTGGCTCACTGGAGGCCCTGGACTGGGTGAGCTTATGGTACCCAGTAATGGGTCATGTGGAGAGTTGGTGGTCAAGTGAGCCCCTCCCCAAGCACTTGCCCTGTGCTGGAGGCTGGAGCTGTTAGCAGGGCAGGTGGGGGATCTTTTGCCTAGTGGAGAGGCAGGGTAGTAGTGTTCCAGAAGAGCTTCTGCTGGAACATGAGGAACTTCAAGAGCGATCCATGCGGCTCGGCGCCTATAGCTCAACAGGCTAAGGCGCCAGCCACATACACCTAAGGTGGCGGGTTCGAATCCCCAGCCCGGACCCGCCAAACAACAATGACGGCTGCAACCAAAAAATAGCCGGG